CCACTGTAAGTGTTAGTCTTTTTCCCCGTAACTGAGTATCAAATGAGCAGGTTTCTCCCCTCTGAAATGTCCCTTGGTAAAGTGGGAAGTAAGTTCATTCTGTAATTTGAAGTAAGTCTAATTTTCTCCAACACAATTTATTAGACTTTTGATCTTAAAAGGTTTTGTGGATATTTTTACAATTTCCTCATAAACATCTGAAGTATTTTGATATTTGTAAATATTTTATTAGTATTTTGATATTTACATATGTATGTTCTATTTTGTTTCTACTCTCTGCTTATGTGTTCTCATTTACCCAAAATCTGCAATTATCATGTTAAACCTATGATTCAGAAACCTCTGCACCAAATTTTTCTCATGTCCAACCCCCAACACACACCTCTTCCCCCAGCATTCTGTGTCTCAGGAAATGTTGAAATCATTTATATAATTCCTCAAGCCAGGAAATTATCTTCAGCTTTTTCCTTCTTTCTCCTACTGTGTCCATTCAGTCATTAGGTCTTGCTGAATCTACCTCCTTGATGTTTTTTAATTTCATTTGCTGTTTTCTATACCGGTTACTGCTACCTACTCAACACCTGAAGTTACGGTCTACCTCCAACCTAGTCCTCTTCAGTTCAGTCTCATACAGCATACGAGATGATCTTTTCATAATTAAATTCTTGTTAAATGTTGTGGAAATAAATGAAGACAACCACAATAAACAGCCTGTTTATTTAGAGGTGCTATAGGGTTGCTATGGGGAGGGAGTCAGCCACTGTCACTTGCTTTTAGCAGAGACTCCAACGCATCCTGGAAAGCTTTATAGTGAGGAAAAAAAGGTGTAGGAGAGTCTTCAGGTATATTCTGATTGTAGGTTGCTGACATGGGAAAACTGGAGGTGGGTTAGCTAGAAGCAGGGTATCCTCTGTGATTGAATTGGAAAGCATATTTGTCTTTCTCTGGTCGTAAGTTAGAAGCACGGGGACAAAAACCAGGAAAGCTGGCAGCCATTGGCCAAATTCTGACTTTTCTGAGCCAATTGCTGCAGAGGTTGTCAGCCAGAGTTATTTTGTCATATATAGTCTGACCAGTGTCTGTTAATATGTTCAGTCTCAATCCATCCAACAGCTTTTTAAGATCCTTGTATACATGCAAAGCCTTCTATAAAATCCTATACCAGACGAATAGCTGCATGAGGTGAGGACATTGCTATTCCCCACACCTAGCACAATTCCTGAAATAAAAAACCTGCTAATCAATAGTTATAGGAGGAGGAAAAGGCTAGGGAAGGTAGACGGAGAGAAAGAAATCTTTTAAAATCTGCCAAGCAGGTAAAACCTAGAGTAACATGAAATGGATAATGCAAGATAAATCTAAGAGAAATCTATGCTTTAATCTTTACTACTCCCTGTTCTTATAAAAATTTTTCTCCTCATTTGGAGAAAAAATCTGAAAATTCACACAAATATTAGAAAGGAAATTGTGCTTTGGGCTGGCCTGAGTGCAGTGCTGTTTACAGCTAATTGATTACAACCAATTAAGGATTTCTTCCTTCTTCATTCCCACTGCTTCACTTGATTAGCCTTAAAAAAAAATCCTGCATTGGCATTTCATTCTAATATCCTTGTCTAACTCTCTAAGCAAATATTGTAGAAAATCAGAAAAGAAAAACCCACTCTGTGTGTGTGTGTGTGTGTGTGTGTGTGTGTGTGTGTGTGTGTGTATGTGTGTGTGTGTGTGTATAAAATCTGAGACTGTAGGAGGAAAAGAGAAAAGACAGCTAAGGTAGTGGTGGATATCACTGCTAAATCCCCACATCTTAAAATAGGCGTAAGTCTATTTACCAAAATTTTTAGTAACTGTAAATTTAACTATTTAACAGTAATATTTAACTATTTTTAGTGGTACCATAAGACCAGGTATAGATTAGTATTTAGTAAATCCTTTTAAAAATTATTTTTAAAAGTAAACATGGCTGGGCATGATGGCTCATGCCTATAATTTCAACACTTTGGGAGGCTGAGGCTGGCGTATTGCTTGAGCCCAGGCATTCTAGAACAGCCTGGGCAACATGGCAACACTCCATCTCTACAAAAAAATATAAAAATTAGCCAAGTGTGGGATAGGGTGCCCCTGTAGTCCCAGCTGCTCAGGAGGCTAAGGTAGAAAGATCATCTGAGCCCAGGGAAGTTGAGGCATGCAGTGAGCCATGATTGTACCACTGCACTCCAGCCTGGGCGACAGAGTAAGACCCTATGTCTAAAAAAATAAATACATATAAATATAATTTTGAGTAAATGAGCTTATTCAGATACTTACTCCACAGACTTAAAGTTAGAATGTTTCATTACAAATTGTTTTTGATGCCAAGACATCTGAGTTAGGATTCATTTTTTAAAATTGTTTTTGAAAGAAATTTCTTGAGATCAGAATATAAGAATTTGTAATTTTTAAAGGCAAGGGAATTCTAAACCTAAGACAATGTAATAATTGTTATGTAGAAATATGGAAAAGTATTGCAGATTTAAAACTCAGAAACTGCCATGGTATTAACACTAAGTTACATTATATAAAATACTTATGCATATAAGGAAAAGCAAAATATATAAAAATAAAAATAGATGCATTTACATGATAGGAATAAGTAGGATTTTTTTCCCCTTTTTCATATGCTTCATATCATTACATCATCTTTTCAAACATTTGTTTTAAAGTAGAAGTAAGCATGAAAGCAGGAAAGAGGATACAAAGGAAACTGGGAGAGCTTAACTCCTGTAATGGCGTTACAGGACCTAATACTGAATTAAGGATAAAATGTCAGGTGGCAATGCATTAACCTCAAATATAAATAGTGTCAAAACTACACTGAGAATTTGTAGATCTCTGTACATCATAAATACTTTACCTTTGATTGGATTATTTCACTTTTTTGTTGTTGGGGTTTTTTCATTTTCTTTTGTTTTGCTGTTTGTATTTTATTTATGTATTTATTTATTTATTTTGGAGATGGAGTTTCACTCTGGATGCCCAGGCTAGAGAGCAGTGGTGCGATCTCGGCTCACTGCAAGCTCCACCTCTGGGTTCAAGCGATTCTCCTGCCTCAGCCTCCCGAGTAGCTGGGATTATGGGTGCCCACCACCATGCCCAGCTAATTTTTTGTATTTTTAGTAAAGGCAAAGTTTTACCATGTTTGCCAGGCTAGTCTTGAACTCCTGATGTCAGGTGATCCACTCACCTTGGCCTCACAAAGTGCTGGAATTACAGGCGTGAGCCACCGTGGCTGGCCTTGTTTTGCCATTGTGTTGTTTGAGTTCCTTGTATATTCTTGTTATTAATTCCTTTTCAGATGGATAGATTGTAAATATGTTCTCCCATTTTTTAGGTTGTGTCTTTACTCTGTTCATTGTTTTCTTTCCTTTGCATACACTTTTTAGCTTGATGTAATCTCGTGTGTCTATTTTTGCTTTTGTGGCCTGCGCTTTTTTGAGGTCCTACCCAAAAAGAAACCTGTGCCCAGACTAGGGTCCTAAAGTGTTTCCCCAAAGTTTTCTTCAGTAATTTTATAGTTTGGGGTCTTACGTTTAAGTCTTTAATCCATTTTTATTTGATTTTTTATATGGTGAGACATAGGGGGCTGGTGTTATTCTTCTGCATGTCTATCCAGTTTTCCCAACACCATTTATTAAAGAGACCATTCTTTCCCCACTGTATGTTTTTGGTATCTTTGTCAAAAATGACTTGGCTGTGAATGCAGGGACTTATTTCTGGGTCCTCTGCTCTGTTCCATTAGCCTATGTGTCTGTTTTTATGCCAGTACTATGCTGTCTTGGTTACTATAGTTTTGCAATATCTTTTGAAGTCAGGCAGTGTGATGCCTCCAGCTTTTTTCTTTTTGCTTAGGATTGCTTTGGCTGCTCAGGGTCTGCTACTTATACTTTGGATGATAGAACTCATTTCCTTCCCCGTTTACCTATGAATAACTTTATTATAAAATTATATAGCCTCTTCTTGTTTGCATTTTCCAAGTATTTATTAAGCAACTAACAATATTATATGTCAGGCCCAGTGTTCGATGCTGGGAAAGCCTGAAAGCAAAAATCTTTGCTCTTAAGTGAACTTTGGGGCAGAAAGTGGTGGGGAACCAACATATAGACCCTTTCAGAACAATGTCATGGGAATTTTAATGGATGTAAACGTAGGGTGCTATGAGAGCACAGCATTTTTCTAGCCTTTTTCATCCTTTGAGAAGGTAATACCTGAGCCTCGTTTTGAAGGACCTGTGAGAATTAACCAAGGAGAGGAATAGGAATGTAACAACATGAGTGAAAACAGAGGAGAGGTGAGGGGCATTAGTGGGGAGTCATTGGATAGTTTAGATGGGTCATGTTCAGATTTGAGATTTATTATTCTGATGGTAGAGTAGAGGATGGTGTTGAAGGGTGCAAGAGTGGAGGCAGGGAGAACAGCAGGAAGCCTGTGAAATTGAATAAGAGCTAAGAACTGAATAAATCAGTAAGATGGGATGAGCTCAAGAAATATTTAAGATGTAAAATCCGTAGAAACTTGCAAGTTCCTGTTTTTTTTTAATGTAGATGACTGGAAGAATGGTGGTACTGAGAGAAGGGGATACCTAGTTCAGAAAAGCAATCTCCTACCTGTAGTTTACAAGCTATTCTTACCATAGATCTGCATAGGCAAACTTGGTTTAATGTATATGCAAGTAAAAGATAATTTTATTTCTCAAGGTATGGAAGGGCTATTATTCTAAATATTTTCTTAGGCCTTTTAGGGCTGAGGAAATTTTAAAACATTAAGATTATAAGGTAATACTAGAATTCAGAAGGGTTATTTTTACTCCAAAATCTATTTATTCCTCTAAGTTTTCATCTACTTTTCATTCTCCCCTTACTATGTTAGTGTCATAAGACATTTCTGAAGTTACAAAGGGAAAATATAAATTAGTTTGTTAGATATGACTTATTGATATAGAATATTAAGAGTTTTATGTTTTTTAGGGTGTTTTCAAGCCTGTGGACCTTAACCATGTCATCAAACTTCTTGAAGAGACTAATAAAGTGAGTAAGCTTTGAGAGAAAATTACTCCATTGCATTACTTACAAAGTATTTCCCTGAAAGGTAACATACATTCCTTCAAATGTAAGTCTCGTTTATCTTCTTTTGTTGAAAACATTTCAAATAGTACATATCTTATATTCAAGGACTGTTTAAATTTAGTATGATATATTTAATGAAGTGGGGAGACTGGAGGAAGAGAATAGTTGCTTTTATGAGATGGACAAACCCATGGTGGCTGTAACAGAAGGAATCCTAAGAGCAGAGAAGATCATCTAGCCTCTGTTAAGTGCTTGTTACCAAGAAGGATTGGAGGAGGGGAATGGTAGAAAACACGGTACCATGGTGTACTAATTATGAAATTGGGATAGGTACACACAGACACATACACATAGATAATTTATTTTGAGACCAATCATATATAAGATGTAATGAAAATGAAGTTATTTTAGACAGAAGACTCAAAATTGGGAGAGTAGGCATTGAGAGAAAAGATAATGTGTGTGCACACATGCTCATACACCACCTGATGTTACCAAGAATTGACTGAATGCCTAAAAGCCAGCACACACTAGGAACTTATGTGGTGATTTCCAAAAAGGAATACATATTGTTAGTAACCAGAAAATGGGTTGACCCCAGTATAGCCTATCAAAAGAAAACAATATCCTATGAATAGTAGGCACAAAAATTTGGTCACTGTTTTAACATTTTTTATTCTCTCTTTTTTTTTTTTTTACATAGAAAGGAGAAAAGATGACTATTGGAATAATTTATCTTTTGCTGGCTAACATTGTTGTGAAAAGTTATATTTATTGCGACTATATCTGCATTAAAAAAACACACACAACTACATAGAGCTCCTATTACCTGTTTAATAAGGCTACACAGAAAAAGTATAGACAATGTCACAGCTTTTACATAGAGCTCCCATTAGCTGTTTAATAAGGCTACAGAGAAAAAGTGTAGACAATATTACAGCTTTTCAGAAACACTTAAGATTAAAAGGACAGATGGAATTCAGTCATGGAAACATATCACTATGTAGAAGTTTTGCTTATTTTCATTTTTAATTGATTTAAGATGTTTGGCTTGCATAGAACACTGAGCATATCTTAGAGGTTAAAAGTACAATTTCTAGAGTCAGCTTTCCAAATTTGACTTCTAACATCACCACTTTTTAGCTGTTTATTTTGGACACATTACTTTAAAGTGTTTCAGCTTGTGTTTCCTGTTCTGGAAAAGAGAGATCATAATAGTATCTTCCTAACAGGGTCATTGTGGAAATTAATGAAGTGATATGTATATATGGTGCCCATGTGGTACATGGCATAGAAAAAATATTCAGTGTACTTCAGTTGTTGTTAATATTATTTCTGGAAACAATTACTGCTTTTATATTAACCTCGTTTTGATTCCCAATTTCCTAATCAAAATTAAATGATAGTTTATTTTTGATACATAATATTTGTACATGTTTATAGGGTACTTGTGATACTTTGTTACGTGCATAAAATGTGTAATGATCAAGCCAGAGTATTTAGGATATCCATCACCTCTAGCATTTATCTTTTCTATGTGTTGGGAGCATTTCAAATCCCCTCTTCTAACTATTTTGAAATACATACTACGTTGTTGTTATCTATAGTCGCCCTATTTTGCTATCAAATATTCACCATCACAGTCTTCCTACCTTTTGTAATTATCATTCTAGTCTATGTCTCCATGAGAACAACTTTTTTAGCCTCCACATGAGTGAAAATGTGTGATATTTGTCTTTCTAAACCTGGATTATTTCACTTAATATCTTCTAGTTCTATCTATGCTGCTACAAATGACAGGATTTCATTCTTTATGGCTTAATAGTATTTCATTGTGTATGTATACCATATTTTCTTCATCCATTCATCCATTCATTATCTTAGGTTGATTCCATATCTTTGCTATTATGAATGGTGCTGCAATAAACATGAGATTGTAGGTATCTCTTTAATATACTGATTTCCTTTCCTTTGGATAAATACCCAGTAGTGATATTGCTAGATCATACAGTTCTAATAGTTTATTTTTACCTTCACTGTTTCAGAAAACATTTTATAATATTTACATTATAATATAGAAATTTAAGAATTACTTGATAATATTAATGTGTCTACTTTTTATGTTGAAGAACTTTTTAAAATCTCAACAGATTTAATAGCACAAAAGAACTAAAACAGGTCATTTGTTTTAGGATGGCTTAGAAGAAAAACAACTTAAATTTGTCAAGAAACTGGTACAGTGTTATCAGAATGGACTTGTATCCTTTACATGTGTATGTATACATGTTCATTTCATTTATTCTGAAACAAGAGAATTTCTGTTAGAAAATGTATTAGTTTTCTATTCCTGTTGTGACAAATTACCACAAATTTGATGGCTTAAAACAACGTAAAGTTATTATCTTATAGTTTTGGAGGTTAGAAATCCAAAATCTACCTCACTAGACTAAGTCAAGATGTTGACAGCACTGGTTCCTCCTGAAGACTCTAGAGGAGAATCATTTCCCTGCCTTCCCCAGCTTCTGGAGGCTTCCTGGATTCCTTGCCTCATGCTCTCGTCCACCCACTGGCATCACTGTCACCTCTGCTCCTGTCATCACATCATCTTCTCTCTCTGACCCTCCCTGTCTCCTTCTTTCCTGTATGAGGATCCCTGTGACTATGGTGGGCTCACCTGGATAATCTAGTATAATTTTCTCATCTCAAAATCCTTAATCATATGTGAAAAGTCCCTTTGCCATGTAACATAGTTACAGACTCCAGGAATTAGGACATGGACATCTTGGGGAAGGCCATTAATCTGTCTACCACAGAAAAACTGGAGAGGCCATTATTCTGTCTACCACATAAAATATCTAATGTTTTATGTTTTTTTTACAAAACTGTATTTTCTATCAGAAAATGTAAATAAAATTGAAGAAACAATATAACACAAGTAACTGTGGATAATGTCAGTTTTTTGTAGATTCAGAAAAACAGTGGGTGTAGTTAGGAAGGCCAAACCAAAGTCTTGTTTCTATTAATTTACATGGGCGGTATACCTTTGATAAGCTTCTTCACTTCTCCACCCTTATAAAGTAATAGAAGCTCATAAGGTTGTTAGGAAGATGAGATGAGATTATATACATGCAGGCGCTTGATAATCTGCAAAATATTATATAAATATATTATCCCCACTAAATTTACCACCCTGATCAGAATACATGGAAACCAGTGTATCTTAAAACTATCTGTACATAAAAGCCAGGTGTGATGGCTTACACCTATAATCCCAGCACTTTGGGAGGCCAAGGCAGGAGGACTGCTTGAGGCTGGGAGGTCAAGACTAGATAGATCAACATGTCAAGACTCTGCCATTACAGGTGTGGGTGTGTGCCCAAATTCCTAGCTGCTGGGGAGACTAAGACAGAAAGATTGCTGAAGCCCAAGAATTCAAGGTTACAGTGATCTAAGATTGTGACACTACACTCCAGTGTGGGCAACTGAGTGAGACCCTGTCTCAAAAACAAACAAACAGATAGTACGCGTAGATAAGAACCAGTTTGTTGTTGGGTTGTGATTTGGTTTTTGGGTGTTTTTTATTTTTTTTGAGACAGGGTCTCCATCCAGCCTTAGTTGCCTAGGCTGGAGTACAGTGATGCAGTCATAGCACACTGTGACTTCAAACTCCTGGGCTCAAGTGATCCTCCCACCTCAGCCTCCAAAGCAGCCAGGACTACAGGCATGCAGCCACCATGCCCAGCTTGCTTTATTTTTTTGTGGATCTCATTATGTTGTCCAGGTTGGTCTTGAACTCCTGAACTCCAATAATCCTTTCACCTTGGCCTCCCAAAGTGCTGGGATTACAGATGTGAGCCACCGCAGCTGACCATTAAAAAAAAAATGTTTACATATATATGCTATTGTAAAATAAAATAAAAGTATCACACAAATATTAGGTTGTTATAAAAGTTTTCATATATCCACTCTTGCTTTCTGTATTCATTTTGTCATAGACTGGTAAATACACATCCAGAACTGACAGTGGTCCATAGACCACACTTGGAATAGTATTCATCTAAATCAAGCTTGTCCAACCTTCAGCCTATGGGATGCATGCCACCCAGGATGGCTTTGAATGTGTCTCGACACAAATTTGTAAACTTCCTTAAAACATTATGAGATTTTGTTTTTCAATTTGTTTTAGCTCATCAGCTATCATTAGTGTTAGAGTATTTCATCTATCTGTGACCCAAGACAATTCTTCCAGTGTGGGCCAGGGAATCCAAAAGATTGGACACCCCTGAAAATGATCTTGAACAGTTTTCTGACTTGGTCTAAAGAAGGTATCAAGCCCATGCATTGTGGTTCATGCCTGTAATCTCAACACCTTAGGAGGCTGAGGCAGGAGGATCATTTGAGACCAGGAGTTTGAAACCAGCCTGGGCAACATAGCAAGACCTGTCTCTACCAAAAAAAAAAAAAAAAAAAAGCCATGTATGCTGGTGCACACCTGTAGTTCTTCTATCTTCTCCAGAGGCTGAGACTGAGGTGAAAGGATCGTTTGAGCCCAGGAATTCAAGGCTGCAGTGAGCTGTGTTTGTGCCATGTTTCTTATAATTTTATCTAAATCTTTTATTATTATATTTTAGCCTTGGTTTTATTTTGACCTGTTCAATTTTAGGGCTCGTGTATATAAAGCCCTATTTACTGGTAGCTGAAAAAGTCTAGTAACAGGTGGTTTCTTTTCCTGTTTTAACCTGACACCTCCACACCTCCATCATTGTTTTTCTTCAGGTTAAACCATTGGTGGCAATTGGCTCTATTTCTGAATGCTTTTCACAGGTTGGCTATAGAAGTGGTAAAACTTACCAAAGTTAGAGAAGTGTGTTGGTCACTTATCTGGAGGTTAACAGAGCTTTTTATTTCCAGTGTGCCCAGCTCTCCCATCTCTTCCTAAGAGGTCCTAGAGAAAGGCTAGAAGTAATAAGATTCACCAAGAAGTTTAAGTCACATCTACCATAATTTCTTAGCTGTAAAACAAAATCAATGAATTGTGTTTATGTGCCAATAGGATTTTTAATAGATAAAATAAAAGATACCTTAATCTGAAGATCTAGAAAGGCTATATTTTGCTTTCATATTAGTTTCAGATAAAATCCTAACCAATTTAAACCTTAAATACAGGAAAATTCATCTGAGTTTTAATGTTAATAAAATAGTGGAGTAAAGTAGGTTTGAGTTGCTCATTCTGAGACAGAATATGTTTGTGTGGGCAGGGTGGGGGATGAAGATGAAGGGTATAATTGAGCCTAATCAATAAGTTAATGTTTTCAATGTGCTATTACTCATTGCCAATGGAGAAATTATTGATCAACTAAATCTGTGTTGTAGCAGTTTGTAATCCAACTCAAGTTGTGAGAGGAAAAAAATTGTGAGTAGGAGTTTACTGAGGCAAAAAGAAAATAGTTTTCTGAAAAAATATTGTTCTAAATTTCCTTTCTTAGACCTCAAAATAAGAATAATTAAAACAGTATCTACTGCATTTAACAAAATAGTTGGAATTCTAGACTTTTTTCACAGAATTATTATAAAGAGTATGTTAACAAAAATATTAATCTTAATTTTATTTCTTAACTAAACATATTAAAGCCATTAAGGGATTTAGCACAGATATTTAAAATTCTGAATCTGTGTGCAGGAAAAATAAAAAACCAGCCTCGTTTTGTAGAATCTGCATATGATATCATAAAATTGTGTGGGTAAGTTATCTTTCTTTAACTTTGTTTTATATTAGCATGGAATATTTTATTATGTTTCTTATGTCACAAACATACTATGCATTATAGTGTAGCAGGTTGCTACAGAACTCAGACAACTTCAGTTCATCCCTTGATTCCAGCAGTTGAGACTTCAGGTAATCAATTTTCTGTGCTCTGAGATTGCTAGCCACAAGAGATTAAACTGTAAGTATACTGAAATGCTTTCTTGTAATTAGTTGCTATCAAGTGAATGATAAATATTAGAGGTAACCAAGGAATTGTAGTATTTTTCAGAGAATCCTTGAGTGAACTTATGGATATACTTATAGTTTCAGTCTAGCTTTTCTCTCTGTCTTTAGAAAATTTGGGTCTCAAAGATATATTCGGTTATATGTCATGTTTTACTTGATTTTTGAAATTTGAGAGAATAAAACATCAACAATCATATTTGACATACATTTTAACAATGTAAGTTAGAGGTAAGAATTATAAAATTAACATGTCTCATTCTTTCTACTGTTGGTTCCCTAACAAGTTCAGGAAACTAAGAGTGTATGGTCCTTGGTGCCACATAGTGGCTAATCTAGGTATATATTAAAATATTTTTAGTTGTTAAACGTAATGTAGTAGGGAGGAATAAACCTTTCTGACAAATTATTTACCTTCTGAACCTTTCTACCAATTTTTTTAAAATAGCAATTATTTACCCTAATATACAAATATATAAGTAATAGAAAAGTTTAGTAAAACTATGCATATATGATAGGTTCTGACTCTCACTTTTAGATTTAGCAGTAATAATATTTGAAATGTTTGTAACCACTTATGTTTAATTTTTTTGATATCTGGATAAAATAATCAAAATAATGTATTGAATATCTATACCATGCCTTGCTTTTTAATAGGAACAATGGGAAATAAAGAAATAAATGGTTGCTCTGGTGTTTTCCAGGAACAAATTGGAAATTATTATATTGACATACAATTATATAATATAAAACTTAAATTTCAAGGCTTTGCAAGTCCTAGAATGCCAAGTTCATAAGCATTACTTTCAATATTCATGTTCCTGCAGAGCTCTGCACAGGGTTGGTTCTCTATGAAAACTTGTCACTGAATGTTTAATTGTATAATATGATAAATCTTTTTTAACTGGAGTCTTCATTTTCCCTCATATTTCATAATTATTCACATTGTTAATTTTTTCTACATTTCTAATTTCAGCATATGTCTAGATAACTTCTTTATGCCTCACCCTCACTCATTTCTCTTTTCAAGACATTTTTGGCAGATAAAAACAATGAAAATAGAATAATAATGCCAAGGCTTTCCATTTTGGCCTCCAAGTAGTATGGTTTTCTCATTGCATCAGAACTATAATGCTGGCCCGTTGCGGTGGCACACGCCTGTGATCCCAGCACTTTGGGAGGCCAAGTTGGGTGGATCATGAGATCAGGAGTTTGAGACCAGCCTGGCCAACACAGTGCAAACCTGTCTCTACTAAAAATACAAAAATTAGCTGGGTGTGATGGTAGCTGCCATCCCAGCTGTAATCTCAGCTTCTCGGGAAGCTAAGGCAGGAGGATCACTTGAACTCGGGAGGCAGAGGTGGCGGTGACCGGAGATCGCACCACTGCACTCCAGCCTGGGCAACGGAGCGATCCTCCATCTCAAAAAGAAAAGAAGTATAATGCTAATTTTTTCATAACTTTTTGGCTGAAAACTCTTCTGATGCTTTCTTTAACTTATAGGTTGTCGCCTTTGCTAGAAAAGGAAAAAGTTTGACAAAAAGTACTAGTTTTGGAGTCTTTCACTTTAGAGATCCAACAAGCAGCTGGACAACAAATACACATTATTTGTTTCAAATGACAAATTCTGACAAACACTAGAAATGAACTTCTGTGGCATTTACAAAATTGTCCTTTTTGTAGCTTGCTCTTCAGATATTTCGTTAAATTCAAATTGGTCTTATATGCATCCTCATGTGATAGTTCTTACTGCCATTTTCAACCACTTGTTTAGTTTTTCTTCAAAAACATGAATTTAAAGTCCTCTCTATATAGGATATATTGTACTTTATTTTTTATTTTTATTTATTTTTTGGGGGGGGACGGAGTTTCGCTCTTGTTACCCAGGCTGGAGTGCAATGGCGCGATCTCGGCTCACCGCAACCTCCGCCTCCTGGGTTCAGGCAATTCTCCTGCCTCAGCCTCCTGAGTCGCTGGGATTACAGGCACGCGTCACCATGCCCAGCTGATTTTTTGTATTTTTAGTAGAGACGGGGTTTCACCGTGTTGACCAGGTTGGTCTCGATCTCTTCACCTTGTGATCCACCCGCCTCGGCCTCCCAAAGTGCTGGGATTACAGGCTTCAGCCACCGCGCCCGGCCCAGGATATATTGTACTTTAAATAGCATAGGAGGTTCACATTCTGAGCTCATGAAATGTCAAGATAGTTTATATATTTAAGAATAACTTTTATAATTCCTTTGAAATTTAGATTGACCCAGGTTTATGTGCTAGATCTTTAAGATTTATAAATAAGTTACATTCAAATAGCTTTGTTATAATGGCATGAAATGCAATTCTAATATAGTAATATTTGTAAACTTGAATGCCTTGATGTCTGCAAAAGCATTCTGTTATTTTGTGGTGAGTAACTAACCCAGCTAATAAGGAAAAAGGCACTGATCTCTAAGAATGAATAAATTATTTGATTTTGGCTAGAGTTTTGGAAATTTCGGGAAAAGCTCTTAACCGGTTTTTAAGTTATTAGTGAACTTAAATCTATGGTTTGTATCAGATTTTCCAATGTTGTACTAACTCTGATAGAATTACTATTTTGACCTCAAAGAGAAAGAGGGTTACTAAGTTTTTATTCATGAAGTGATGCAAAATGGCTTCCTTAACCTGTGGCTTTTACATCCATCTCTTAATTTTTTTTTTTTCCGAGACGGAGTTTCACTCTTGTTACCCAGGCTGGAGTGCAATGGCGCGATCTCGGCTCACCGCAACCTCCGCCTCCCGGGTTCAGGCAATTCTCCTGCCTCAGCCTCCTTAGTAGCTGGGATTACAGGCACGCGCCGCCATGCCCAGCTAATTTTTTGTATTTTTTTAGTAGAGACGGGGTTTCACCATGTTGACCAGGATGGTCTCGATCTCTTGACCTTGTGATCCACCCGCCTCGGCCTCCCAAAGTGCTGGGATTACAGGCTTGAGCCACCGCGCCCGGCTCCATCTCTTAATTTTTATAATTAATTTAATTTTTTTGGTCAGTTCATTAGAAACTTTTTTTTTTTTTTTTGAGATAGAGTCTTCCTCTGCTGCCAGGCTGGAGTGTAGTGCACGATTTCGCCTCACTGTAGTCCATGCCTCCCTGGTTCAAGTGATTCTCCTGTCTGCCACCACACCCAGCTAAATTTTGTATTTTTAGTAGAGACAGAGTTTCACCATGTTGGCCAGGATGGTCTCAATCACTTGACCTCATGATCTGCCCACCTTGGCCTCCCAAAGTGCTGAGATTACAGACATGAGTCACCGTGCCAGGTCCCAGAAACAGTTATAATACTATTAAAGTATAATACTGTGTATTACAACTAGTAATTAATAGTTGTCAATTCCTCAGGGCTAAAGAATAGAATATTATTATTAATTTATTCTTTAGAAATGAAATCTCCCCCACTTACAAATGATGCTTCAATCAAATACCTTATTAAAAATTACTCTTACTATTCTTATTGAAGCTTGCCATTTTTGAAAAAGAAAGTATCGGATGAAATAACTTATGCTGAAGATACTGCTAATTCAATTGCACTTCTGGGTAAGTTAAGATTTCCTTAAGGTAGATGTAACACATGACAGGTCCTACTGACAAGGAAATATCTATTTTCTTCAAGTTTGACTAAGAGAACTCCTTCTCCATGTCTAGGATCTTCTCTTATTTTCTGGTAGGGAATTAATCACAGTGTGCTTGGTGATAATTCTGGTACTGTATTCTGCTCAGGTGTTTCATGATACCAGTAAAAGTCTGTGTTCCTTAAGTACAAGGACAGGCTGATTATTTAGTTTAATGAATTATTATTTAATTTGATGAAATGTTTGTTAACTATTTTTGTATCAGAAAGTATACATCCCCCTTTTTAAGTAATCACAAAAACATTTCAACTTTGAACTCTAATACTTAGATGCTACAATCATAGAATTATTCATTAAATGATCTAAAATTTTAAATCAAATCATAAAATGATAGCATATTAAGAACTTTAGCATAATACACATAAAGATGCAGATGCCTGTATTTTGTACACAAAATATGAAAAATATCATAAAAGGGCAGGCATTTATATATGGGTTATTGCTTGATTTTCTTGAGAAAGAAAACAATTTCCTAGGAAATTAAATAAGGGAAACACTAGCTCTTTGAGTCAGCTCCTGGGACATGACAGCATGTTCCCAAAACAAATCCTACATTAAATTTAAACTTATTAGTTTAGGTCTTTATTTGTACAGGAGGAATAAAAGATACACAATTGATCCAATACATTTTTTAAAATATTTACTGAACAGTTATGTTCCCAGCATTATACTCCATACAGAAAGATGTTAGAGATTTAACTAGAATGAAGAAAAAAAGCATTTTTATTTTTAACATAGACACTAACCCTTTTATATCTCAGTAGGTTTTATGGATTTTAATTTTTGCTACTTTCAAAAAATTGCCTAGGATTCACCTACTTTGTGACCTAGAGTCGTGGAGATTAGGTTAAACATGGGGCTGGGACAGGGCGTTAAAGAAAAACACCTTAGGAAGCAGGCAGGTTCGGAAATAATGGGAATTTTTAATTCTGTGATTCTCTATCATCAGTGGAAATTTACAATGAGAATCTAACCCAAAAGAGGACATGGTAGTATTAACGGATAAAAAGTATGGTTTTTGTTGGTAACATTATTTTTTAAAATACCCCTGTTGCCATTATTTTTAAATATTGCTTCCAAGAGTGTTGGCAGTCACTTTTATTATAAATACATGGCCCATTTCTTACTATCAGCTTGTTCTTTGCTTAATGACTGGTCCCCTGCCTGCAGAACGTGTCACTACTATCTCATTTGAAGACAGTATGAACTCCTAACTTCAAATGAGCTTCCTTCACTGATTACTGACTGCAAGTACTGCTGTTCTGTCTCTTAGTTTTTTTTAGTGGCTTGAAACATTAGTTTAAAATAACTGAATATAAGATGAAATGTTGAACAAAAACTATTCATGATTTTTAGTAATAACTTCCAGTTTCTACTATGTACTAATAAGTTATATTACATTTTCTTCCAAATGATACATAGATATTTCTGACTCAGAAACAAGATTCTGGAAATGGATGAGAGAAGAAATTGGTACTCTGCCCTGAGATGATGAAACAGAAAGCTATGATAAATTATCTAAATTTACAGGAACTAAAACAGTGGAAAAGCAGACGAAAGTTCCTAGAATTTCCCATAAGCCTGCATATTTGGACAGTCTCGGAAAAGCTTTGTTGCTCCTGTTGCCTAATATTTTTAAAAACCTAAGTACTTATTTTGCAATTCTAAAGAACAGTCCAAAACATAAATAAAATTTAGAATTAGAATAATCTTAAAACTGTCTTTTCTAAGTGGTATCTTTTGCAGACAGAGTCTCCTAAAGCTAGGGTCAGGCTTTCCTTTGTGCTTCCTCCCCCTGTCCACTTGCCTCCCCACTTGCTGACCACCTCCAGAGATGAGCTTCACACAAGGGCTAATGCAAAAGAGAAATTTCTAAGTATCTTTTACCCTCAGAGAGTCCAAGCACTTCTGGTTCAGTTCTAAGGCTGATACTACTGACTATAGCTGTTCTCAGGCATTCAGAGAACCTGGATCATTTCCAGAGTTACACAGATCATTTTCAGATACCCTTGGGGATCATATTTATAGGACTTCAACAGAGTAGATGCAATCCAGTTTGAAATACAGTCTGAAGTCAATTTAAGTATAGTTTAGATATGACTGAAAAGGAACCCTCCTATTCGCCAACCCCACGCAGACAGCTTGAACATAAAACTATTACCTTTGCCTGTGGGGCAACTCCCTAAAAACTCACCCTCTCCCAGTCTGCCAACAAATTGAAGAGCAAAGTTCACCTGGAACTTCTCTAAAGCAAAGAATGCATTATTAAAGGCAAAAAATTACTGACCCTCTAGTTAGGGAGAAAAATTCTATATTTTTTCAAAATAGTAATAGTATCTAACACATAAAGAACTTACAATATGCTAGACACTTTTCTCAGTCCTTTTCTCATATTAGCTAATTTAATCCTCACAACACTCTTAAATGTGATAACTATTGTTATACCTGTTTAATAGATGAGAAAACTAAGACACAAGTTTACACAGGTAGTAAATGGCAGAGCCAGGATTTAATCTTAGACAGTCTGGTTCTAGCATTCGTGTTAATAAGCATCATTCTTACCTCCCTGGAAAGGTGAGGCTGAATTGATTGAGGGGCCAAATGTATAAGGATGGATCCAGGGTACTGTTTATATGTATATGTATGTAGGTGTGTGAGTATATGTATAAAAAATATGTATATAAATTGAACATGATCCAGTTTGAATCTGAGTATATTTTTAATAATCATCATATTATTAACATTTTATGCCTAAATTCTACAAATAAGCTTATGACAGTGTTAATAAGTAGCACCTGTTTATCTTTCTGGCAGGTGACTTAATGAAAATACCAAGTTCTGAATTGAGGATACAAATTTGTAAGTGTATTGTTGACTTTTATCATGCAGAACCACCAAAGAAGCATATTCCAGGTAAAATTTACAATGGTCTTTCAGTGATAACTTGTGTATTTAGAAAATGGAACATTCTTATTTCTCTTTGAATTTGACAGACACAGTGGACTCATAAATCTAACACATTAAAAAGAAAACTTTTTTGTAGTCTTGAGTACTTTGGTCATCTTTTAAAAGTTATATATGTATTTTTCAGTTTTTGACTTGCATATTTTATTCTGATGCTAAATATGAACAGATCTGTAAAGTAATGCCCAACTTAGTTTACTAATAATTTTAAATGTTACTATTATAACGTTATTTAATACTGTTGATAAAATTATTTTTAAACACTTTGTAATTATTCATAATATCTGCCCCTACTCAATTCAATGTTAAATTACTAGTGCCAGGGCCATTCTCCATCATGTTTAGGAAAAGAGTTTATATTATAGCTAAGGGACCTTAATATATCATGGTAAATGAACCACACTGCATTAGGCAGGACCAAGACAGGGGCACATGCACTGTGAGGGTATAATGTTAAGACGTACTTCTTACCTTCATAGTTTCTGTAATTTCTAATCAATCTAAGAAGGGAGAGAAGATTGTTTATACGATAATTTCTTAGGTTATGCTTAATATAGGTGAAAATAAGAGTCTGTGGTAGTTCAAAGGAAAGTTTATTTAAGACTAGGGGAAAATGGAAACCAGAAGTCACTTTAAAAAAAGACAATTGGTCGGGCGCAGTGGCTCACGCCTGTAATCCCCGTACTTTGGGAGGCTGAGGTGGGCGGATCATGAGGTCAGGAGTTCAAGCCAGCCTGGCCAATGTGGTGAAACCCCATCTCTACTAAAAATACAAAAATTAGCTGGGCATGGTGGCACATGCCTGTAATCCCAGCTACTCAGGAGGCTGAGGCAGGAGAATTGCTTGAACTG